GAATAATAAAAACTACTGAGTGATAACACAATGCAACCTGGAGGTTTTAAAGGGCTTCAGATGAAAGAAGGATGTGTCAACATCCTCTAAGGTGTCACAATGTTTCATGTAGAAGGGGCAAAAAGGAAGCTGCTGAAAAGAGACTTATTTCTAGTTGTTCCTCATTTGTGGAAACTCTCCTGCTATGCCCAGTCAGCTCTCCCAGCTGTGCCTTTGCTCTCAAGAGAAAGAAGCAGCTTTCACTACTACCAACTTGGGTGAGCAACAAAAAAATTGACATGGCACCTTCACACAAAGAAAAAAACATGTAACTTCACCACTGCTGTAGTAAATCAGACTCCAGGAAGAAGTGGCATTTGCTCCCAAGGTAGAGAGTCCAAAGCAGACACTGGGCACAGGAAAGAAGAGAAGAAGGCCCCCATTTCAGATGTGAGGCAGACTGGGTCTCATCCACAGGAAGTTACAGGTCATACAAGGAGACTTTCTGGACCAGAGATCTGATCTCCAGGCTCTGGGAGGTGGAGAACTGAGTACAATAGGGGTGAATGCCAACAAGTGATGGAACTCCAACTCTACTGATCCAAATCCCAGATCAATGTTAAATGTTATTTTTAACACTTCCCAAGTGGAGTGAGTTCCACTAACATATCCATAATAATACCAAAAAATTGCTGCAGCTGTATTCCTAAGACTCCTGGAGCCAAGCACTCTTCCTGAGAAGGGTAATAAGACCAAAACAGAACCCTCTTTTAGAAATTAACAACTACCCTGGCAAAAATCTTAATGAAGGTCCTGACAGCAGCCTGAAAAGCAGGTGTTGGCTGCACTGAGCATTGCCAGCTCAGATCTCAGAGATCACCCCTGGGAAGCCACAGAAAATGGGTGTCCCATTGACCTGCACACACCAGGGAAATGTGCAAAGATCTCAAGGTTTCTCAAAGCTGTTCAAGACTTCACCAGTCTCACAACTGAATGGGTCAGAGATGTTGAAAGTCTCTGACTGTAATCTGCACTTTTTGAGGGAAAGGAGACTCTGCTGCAACAGCTGATGAAGTCTGGAGATATACAAATCACACATTAGGCTTCTGTAAGAACAACATGAAAAAAAATATCTCTAGGAGCAGCCAGGACTCCTGTGAGCTTCACATGCCACACCAAGAGGCTGTATGTAGCAAACAGCACCATTCTGAGAGTGAGGGCTGCTTGTGTCCAACCTTTAGTGATTTGTATGCTCCAAAGCCTCCTTTCAGTCTGCCTTATTTCCTGCTGCAGAGGTAGGAGAAGACTGGAGCAGCAAAAGTCTCCACTTGACTTGTCCAGCTGTAGGGGCAGACAATGGCCAGAGCCTGAATAAATGTACAAATGACCTCATCACCTCAAGAGAAATCTCCACAGTGGAGAAAGACTCCAGAGAATTCAAAAGCTGTCTCAGTTAGGTCCTGCCCTAGAGGACCCAGAGAATTCTGGGCAGCCAGCAGAACATTTCAAGGAGTCTTAAAATCCCCATGTTGATGCCATGAGCCTGCTCTGGATGGACAGTGTCTCCTTGATGCCTGGCACAAGGAATGTAAGAAGGATCAGTGAGAGGAATCTCAGGACAAAAAGGTAAAAACTAATTGAGGATCTTGAACACTTAATGCAACTGGAAACAGTCCCTGATGCCTTGCAAGAGGGAACACCTCCAGATCCTATCCACTGCTTGAGACATGGAAGGATCTCCCCAAAAAGTGGATCACTGAGGCAGCTGGAAGCCCTGCCCCAATATATGACATTGTCAGACACAGGCCTTGAGGCCCTGCCTTGCTTTTCCTTAGCTGCCTGTTGCAAATTAATTTTCTATTTATCACTTGGTATTCTAGAATAGACACACACTCTGTAATCTGTCTCAGTGTTTGCTCCATGTCAGGAAAACCAAATCCAGGTAAATTGCACAGCTGCAGGTAAGCTACAGACCAGGGATGGAGCTGACTCTTATTTGGCCCTGATGGCATGTTGGGAGTGGAGTTATTTTTGAAAAAAATAATGCACAGAGAAACCCAACATTGAAAGAATGGACTTTGGGGACAGCAATAAAAAAACTTTTATTACAGAATCTTCTTTTTATTAGTAAAGCAAACAAGCTAAAAAACAAGACAGGCCAAATACAAGATTAACTCACTCTTCCTTCACATTTTTACCCACTGTAATTTACCATCATTTTGTTGGGGTTTTTTTTCTGTGAAAGTCACCTTTTGAAAAACAAAATGTTTTTGCCTTTTCTCAAAAGGAAAACACTTTTTGTTCCTCATGCAGTTTCCCTTACTGCCTGAACTACATATGTTTTTATGCACAGTAAAATATTTTTAAAGATTAATTTGATATGTCTGATTATTCCTAAGGCAGCTTGTAATTTTCTTCACTACAAACACATTAATTTACTGAAGCAGTCACTGAACAACACAGTTGAATCTGGAATAGCTCCACAAACTCTACAGCTATTTCTGGAGCACAACAGTTAGTTCTAAGCAGTTCTGGCAGAAACTGCAAGAGCTTGTAAGATGGTGCTACTCACTTGATTCAATAGCATCCAGCTTCTGGAATGTCCCCAGGATATCTCCATTTACTATTTTGGGTAAGAAATCCCTCAGTTGCATAACTTCAGTTGTCAGCCTTTCCAAATCCCTCCTCCTAACTTTTACAAATTCCTCTTTGGTCTCAGCCTTCTGAAACAAAACAACAAAGCAAAACAAAAACAAACCAACAACCAACCAAAGACATTGTTACAGTCCTGTAGTGCTTTTCTGCTTCAATTTCTTTTCTTGGACAAAAATATCCTTCTCTATGACATAATTTCAGCAATTTGTAACTTTTCAATGAGATCTATCCAGCAATCAAACCCAAAAGTCTCTGAGGTTGACCCTTTGACTGTAATGTTAATTGTTGCCACTGTGGCCTTAAGTAAATAGCATTACCTCTCTTCATGTGTTTCTTCACCCAAAATGTGTGCAATGCATCTGGGAATGCTGCAAAAATTAACACTCCCAATTTAAAGTGTGAGCAGCACACACCAAGCTGTTGTTTCATGACTGTCGTAAAGGATACGATTACTCAGCTTTTTAATTAATTCAAACATTTGCAAGATACTGGTCCTTAATTACAACAACGCTTTTGGAGGAAACTGTACAGTTTTCAAACCAATTTATCTTTTGTGAAGAGCAAAAATTATTTGCAGCCATCTGCAACCCAATCTCAGGGTTTAAACCCAGTTTCATCCCAAGGTAAGACAGAAATGTTTACTATTAGCTTCCTCTTCTGCCAAACTATAGCTACAGAATAATTTTCATTCAACATTCCAACAGAATGTGGTTTAATTTTAAAATTACAGAGCAATTTCTGTGCAAAAAAACCCCATAAAGTCCAATTTTTGATGTACATATATGTGCACTCTGATGGATGTTAAAAAGGCTGATGCACACACACCAACAAAAAGAAAGTTCTAACATGTTTTGGCTACAACAATCAATCACTTAAAATGCTCTCAGAAAGCAAAGTTATACCTTAGTACTGCTTTGCACTGCACTGATTACAGTGCTGACAAAATGAGATGTTTTATGGATCACATTTTATTCCAGAGGGAAAAGGTTAACAAACCAAAATCTCATCTCCAACAGGCTGGAAATGTGCCATCCCCACAGTCCTCTCAAGAGCAGACACACAAGACAAATGGAAGTCATCCTCTCCACCCATTCCCTACAATTCTTTCTGCTTCCCTACTTCCTCAGGTTGAACATTTCCTTTCAGTTTTGCTTCCTACTCTATTTCTTTCCCAGCTGTCTTTCAAATCCAGAGTTTTGGGACAGGTGACTCCTACCTCTGCAGGTTCAGAGATGTAATGAAGGTATGGAAGATTTTGCTTTATTTTGAACTGTAAGCTCTAAGTTGCATCTAGGATATGCTTATGGCAAGGTTCATAAGGGCAAGTAGCACCACATGACATGACTCTAGAAAAATTCCACTCATCTAGGTCTCCAGAAAGCATGGAAGCAACACATGGGAAGAGGAGTCTTTAGAGGAATGCCATCTGTGTGTCAGCAACCATGAATCACAGAGAGAATTCAGCATGCTTCAGAATCACAGAGCAAAATTTGGTACATAAAAATAGCTCTGTTCACTAGCAGAAACTGAACCAGAAGCTGAACCACAGCTGGGAATCATTGGTGCTGAGATATCAAATACACAGCAAGGAGAAGATTCTCCTTTGTAGTTCCCACTGTAAGCACAGGTCTTGGCAGTACTGCTGCTACAGCAGACAAGTTTTATTCTCTCTGTTCAAGCAGCTTCTCCACATCTGTCTGCACTACAGGAGTATGTTAAAGACAGACAGGAGAGAACAGGAATTTTCTGTCCCGTCCTTACAGTAACAGCAGGTGCCTGAAGTAGGAAATTTGACTTCACCGGGTTCTTCCACAGGGCTGAAGTCACCCAGTAACGCACCTGAGCTCATCATGTCCTGCCTGGTGTGAGCCCAGGGACGGCAATCCCCCTTCCCTGCCAGTCGGGGGGGGCCGAACAGAGCAGAGCCCCCAGCGAGGAACCACTGCCAGCCCTTTCCCCACTCACCCCCCCCCAGCCCAGGGTGCCTCTACAGCCCCCACCACGCTCTGCTCTCCCTGCGGCCCCGCCACCGCCCCCTCAGGGCCCCGCAAGGCCCAGGACCACCGCACAACCCCCGCTCCTTCGGCACCTCGGGGCACCCACGGCCGCATGGACCCCCCGGGCCGGGCCCGGCCTCAGGGCCAGCCCCGAGCGCCCCCGGGCCGCTTGCGATACCTGCGCGTCGCCAGCGAGGCCGGCGCTGCGCCACATCGCGACAGGGGCGACAGCGGCGTTGCGGGGCAGGGGGGGGAATAGGACGGCGTGAGGGCGGGAAGGAACATGCGATGGCCACGCCCCCGCTGTGACCACACCCGCTCCGATTGGGTAGCTGCATATAGGGGCGTGGTATAGGCGTGGTACGATGGTTAAGCTCCGCCCCCAGCCCCGCCCGGAGCGGCCCCGGGATAACACTGGGACAGCATCGGGATAGCAGTGGGACAATACCGGGAAAACATTGGGATAACACTGGGATAATACTGGGATAGCAGTGGGATAACACCGGGGTAGCAGTGGGACGATACCGGGAAAACACCGGGGTAACACTGGGCAAACACCGGGAGAATACCGGCACGATATCGGGAAAACACCGGGATAACACTGGGACAACTCTGCGACAACACCGGGACAACACCGGGTTGTGTGGGGAGCTCCAGCCCGGCCCTGCCGCGGTGCCGCTGCTGAGGCTGGAGGCTCCAGGGCTGACCCCAAGCGGGGAGGGAGGATTGATCTGCTGGAGGGCGGGGAGGCTCTGCAGGGGGATCCGGACAGGCTGGATGGGAGGACTGAGTGGTGGCAGGTTCAACCAGGCCAGCTGCTGGGTCCTGCACTTGGGGCACAACAAAACCCCTGCAGCTCCAGCCTGTAAAAGAGAGCCCGGAGGAAAGGACCTGCAGTGCTGCTCAGCAGAGGCTGAACGTGAGCCAGGTGTGCCCAGGTGGCCAAGAAGGCAGATGGCACCTGGCTGGTGTCAGCAATACCAGCAGGACCCAGGACAGTGACTATGCCTCTGTACGGGGCACAGGTGAGGCCGCACCTCAGGTGCTGTGTCCCGCTCTGTGTCCCCCTCCATCCAGGCGGACGCGGCACTCAGTGCCACGGGCCGGTCCGCAGCGTGGGGATCGGTCACAGGACCTCTGGAAAGAGGCCAAAGAACCTCTGGCCCCGATGATCTCAGGGTTTTTTTTCCAGCCTTCATGACTCTGTGATCTGTGGGGACCCCGGGCCGGTGGAGATCCCGGAGGAACGCCTCCATTGGGTGAGCCGGCCCCGGCGGTGCCGATGAGCCCCGAGCTCCGCGATGCCCCCGCGCTCCGCCTCCCCGCGGTGACGGCAGAGCCCGGCGTCGCTGACGGCATCAGGCGGAGCCCGGCGCGGACAGGCCGGGCCAGGAGCGGGGCAGGGACGGGCCAGGCCGGGCCATGGCTCCCGCGGCCATGCAGCCGCCCGAGGTGCAGTTCGCGCAGCGCTTGGCCGCCAACGAGAAGCGCATCCGAGACCGCGCCCTCAAGAAGCTGCGGGGCTACATCGGCGTGCGGACCCAGCGGCCCGGCGGTACGGACCGGGGCGGGCCGGGGGCCGGCGGGGCGGATAGGGACCGGGCTGGGGACAGGGACAGGGATAGGTCCCGGTGCTTGGCGGGGTTAGCGGCGGCCCCGGCGGTCGGACGGCGTGGGGATGGAAGGAAGCACCACGTGTGCGCCCTGAGCCCGGCACGCCTCCTCCGGGCTTCCTCTCGGGATTTTAAAATTCTTTAAATTTTTTTTTCTTTTACTTTACTTTTTTGTTTGTTTATTTTTTGGGGGGGTTTTTGTTTGTTTTTTGGTTGGTTGGTTTTGGTTTTTTGTTGTTGTTTTTTGGGTTTTTTTGGTTTTTTTTTTTTTTGTTTTACCCCTGTATTTCCCCATGTACACGCACGTGTTGCCCCGGTGCTGCCGCAGGCGCAGCCCCAGCGCCCGGAGCCGAGGCACTCGTGGATCCTCGCTCGGGAAGGGTCTCCGGGCACCGGGGGTGCTCGGGAAGGATCAGCTTGGATCGAGGGAGGGTCTCGCTGGCCTCGAACGAGAGGCCATTAACAAATTATGGCCTATAATTAGTTATTAACGAATGCGAGGTGGGAGCAGGATGGCTCCTGTGCCCTCATTCCCAAGGAACAGGGCGTAAATGCACTGAAATTATCCAGGCTGGAAGCATCTCGGTATATGCTGCATGAAGTTTTATCTTCTGTTATTCCTGTGATGTGATGTCTGTCTGTTTCCATGACTGATGTTCAGGAGAATCGGAAGGAATCGAGGAAAGCTAAGTTATAATTGCAGCTGATTCTATGTAACCCATTTGGGTTACCTGTTACTTTCAATTCATAGTATCAAAAGAATTTCTTCTACGTTTTTCCAAAAATTCTACTTGGGGCTGTATATTGGCACCTTAGAGCTAAGAGTTCACTGGTGTCCCGGGAGCCAGTTTGAGGCTGGCAAGGCCAGTCTGAAGCTCCCTGCACCTGAAACTGTGCACATGTGCACAGTTTCCACATGGATGTGTGTTATTCCTATACCTCATATTACATATAATACATCTAATGTAATGTATAATCTATATTTTGTGTTTCTTTTATATACAACATATCTTTTTATAAGCTGCTTTCTACATTATTTTATAATAATATATTTAAATTATTTATTACTGCGTATTAAATCTATATTTTATATATTGGTGTATATATTTTTCATATATATATATATATATATATATATATATATATATATATGGCTTTGGGGAACCAGCCTAAAGCTGACCCCAAGAGCTGAACAGCAACTGGAGTGCTGGTTGGACCACCCTAAATTCCTTGAAAAGACTATAGAGTGAATATTGTTTCTTGCCTTTCCAAGTAGTATTTGACCCATTAGCCACGTCTGACAGAGGGAAGGACACCTAGAACAGCCTTACAGGGTCAGGCCAGGGAGCCAAACAGGCATTATCCCATTCCTGGCAGTTGACATAGATTTAGGGATTGCCTGGGGACTTTTAGGGATGGTGTACATCATGTACCTCCCAGGTACTTTCTATTTTTTAGCTCTGAAGACTTTCCAAGGGGGGGCTGTGTGTTCAGTGGTGCTCTGTACATCTCACTGCAAAGTGCAGATTCCTTGCAGTTTGTGGGAACAGCCACAGGAAGGACAGGGGTGCCCATAACTGAGGGAAAAGGCTGCAGGTTCAGACACTGCTTTAAAATATCATGAAACAATCACAGGGAAATGGCTCAGTTGGGCTGTGAACCTTTTGCATGTTAAAATCAGCACACCACGGAATGCAAATGAGTAGGAAACAAGGGTGACTAATTTCCAGAGCTCTCAAATTTACTTGCTGTTAGGTACTATCCAAACTGGTAGTATTGAAACAAAGATTAACTTCTTTGGGCTTGGAGAAAAAGAATGTTCAGAAGAGAGGGGTTTTTTAAAGTTATTAATAAATTAGCACTTAAATATATATATTTATTATATATATTATAATTAAGTATATATATATAATATATATACTTAAGTGTATATATATACTTAAGTACTTAAGTATATATATACTTAATTAATATATATATTATAATTAAGTATATTATATATACTTAATATATATTTATATATATAGTTGTTTGTTTACATATATATATTTTTTAATATATATATATAAAGTTATTTATTTTTAGTAGTTATTTTTAAATTAGCAATTATATTATAATAGATATGATTATACCCATCCAGTGTTCTGAAGGGATTCACACATCAGGCAAGCCAGGTAAGGTGCCCTGACCTGAGGAGTTGGGAATGTGCTGAATTTTAGCAGAAATGCTGGAGTTCACCTGATGTTCAGGGCTGTCAGGTGTTTATTATATAGACAGGACTGCTCTGTGTGGTCTGTGCTGAGGCTGAGGGAGCTTCTTAATTTTCAGCAAGAAGTTAAACTCTGTAGAAGGCATTGAACTATCAAATGAATGGATGAAGGAATAGTAAACAGAAATAACTTCTAGCAAAAGAGGGCAGGTTGCTGGGGGGGTTTCCTGTCTGACAGAGCTGCACTTACTTGGGCCTGGATCTGTAAAGGATTTCTGTAATCTCCACTGAAATGTGCCTGTGTGGATCTGGTCCATTGCAATTATCTAGAATAGGAGAAATTGTAACAAATTCAATGATAGCAGTGTCAAAACAGCCCAACTCCCCAAGGCTTGCATTAAAGTAGCTCTGAGTGGTTGTAACACCTCAATCCCAGCTGCCACAATACACAGAACAGAGTTACTGTGCACAGGGACAGTTACAATTCAAGCCCTAAAGCCAAAATCTTTCTCAGGATAGGTTCAAGGTATAGAAGGCCTTCAGTTCTGGGCACTGGGATTGCTAATAAAATGCATTCAGGTTTTAAAATAACTTTAATTTAGTGGGTTTTTATGTGCCAGCTGTGGCTGGGGACAGCACATAAAGGTGAAGAACAGAAAACAGAATCTTGAAACTAGGCTTTTGAGGCATTAGGATAAGAAAATTGCTCTAATTTTTGGTCTGAATCTTATGTCAAATGGACATAAGGACTGTCTAGGACACTTTAAAAAGCCCTGTGTGTATGAAAAGCAAAAAAAACCCATGAAAGTCTGTGTTTTCCTTCCTCAGAGCACAAGAACAGGCTGTCCAGGACAGTGGTGGAGTTTATGTCCCTGTAGGGATTTAAAAGATGTGGAGATGTGGCACTTGGGACGTGGTTTAGTGCTGGCCTTGCAGTGATTATCTGAGAGGTCTTTTCCAACCTGAATAATTCTGTGAACTCCTGAGCCACATTTATAGGTAGCAGGCTCTGTAGGGTTAATACTGCCTGTGAGGTTAAAACTACTTCATACCACTCAGTATGTCACATATAATTCCCTTAAGACATGGTATTAATTTTAATTTTTCAATGAATATTAAATCAGTTAATCAAGTTGTTTCATGTTTTATCATAACAGTACTGTCAAATCTGAGTGAAATTTACAATTAATGCTTAATATTACTGGACATATTGCTTCCTACATAGCATTTTGCATATTTCCTGACTTTCTTATCAAGCAAGCAGGGCTAATGTGTCTGCAGGTGTTTTTGTCTGAGTGAATTTTGCTTTCAAATTACTTGGTTCAAGGGGAAGGTTCACAATTTAGATCTTGCATTGTGTCTCAGGCTTTTTGACTGGCAGACCCCTGACACAGTGATCTTTTTGGAGCAAATTTGAGCTTGCTGAAGATGATGACCTTTTCAAAGTGATTTTTCATGAGATTGCATGGGAGTATTTAATAGGCCATAGTTTGAAAATAGCTGTAGTGTAGGTCATTGTAGCTGCCTTATAACAATGTACTGTTATAATTTTACTTCACATAAATTTACCTGATGTAATGAAAAATCCATGAGCAGATATTAATGGCTTTCCATGCAGTACTTTACTTCTGGAATGTGAAAATATTTTTTTACTGTTAAAATTCAGGTGTTAGCACATCCCAAGACTACTGTATCAAAAAACTTTCCTTATAGTTACTCAAGTTCTTTGACTGTAAAGTTTAATGTAGAAATAAATGTGTTAATTGCTATAAGTTTATTTTATCAAAACAAACCCCTAGTAAGGAGTAAAACTATTGGTAGAGTGTAATACTTTCGTTAAAAACAACAACAAAAAATCATGTTTCTTGAAAAAGTATTTCTGATACTCTCATTAAAAATTTCTTTCAGACTTAGTGTTAAAAATATGCCAGAGGCATTTATCAGAATTATCTTGGTATTCCTCTTACCTGTGATTGCTTTGAAATCTTTGTAATCTTTGTTTTAGTACAAGGTAGAAGCTCACAGTTTCTATCACTGTTCTATGCCAGATTGCCTTCCAGTTAATGTGCTTACAGTAGCAACCCAGAGAAAATAACAAAAACAAAGAAGAAAGCAGGGAGCAGAGTGAACTGCATGAAAATATTTTGGTGGAAAGTGTGATTTTTTCCTTTCATTCAGACTTGTTCTGTACTGTAGGTGGCTTCAGTCAGGAAGAACTGCTGAAAATATGGAAAGGCCTTTTCTATTGTATGTGGATGCAGGATAAACCTCTGCTTCAGGTATAGTAGCTGGGTCTGTATTTGCTTGAGGGGGCCCCTCCAAAATACACTCTAGTGACATTTAATAATTTAGAATGGAGAAAATGATCTTTTTTTTCCCTTCCCCTGCAGCCCATCTGTGGCATGTGCAGGAGAAGACGTGACTGTAACTCAGTGATCTGAAGAT